CAAAACTATTTTGGAATCATCTTAAGTGGAAAGATCTCTAATGACAGCAAATGCTTTGTTCTTTCTCACAATATCACCCTTTAAGAATCAACTCACTGATTATTCAAGTTTAAAAAGATTTCCTGGCAAAGAGAAATTTTAGTGTTGAGTGCTCTGTTACAATAAAAGTTTCTATAGAAATGTTCTTTCTGATAACTATACATTGCAATCACCAAATATTACCATTTCTTATTAAAATAACAATGAAATAATAGAAATTATCACATATAGAAATGGTAAATATGTGGAGGGATTTTTCCTAATTACCCAAGACTATTTTTTCATTATTTTTCTGTTCACTTAAACCTTACATTCAGATTCTCATCTTGTCTCCTTTTGCTCATCTCTCACTTCCTAATTATAAAATGGATAATTTTTCAGGTCACCTATGGCAGCCACTCAAACCAATTCCTCTTGTCTTTAAACTTCTATTCCCACCTCGTCTTCTATTTGCCTCAGCTAAAAGAGCTTTACCTCGTCTATAGCTCTAATCTCTTTCACCTGCCACTTAAAGAGTGCTAGACCATGAAATTTTGAAAATCAAATAAAACACAGGAGAACAATGAAACCAGCAAGGTGTTCTTTGTCTGCCTAGGAAGATAGTTTTTCCATTAAGAACAGGAAAGAGCCTCGTCTATACCTTGCTAGGATTTCCAAGAAACTGAATACTCTGCTTATAGAAATTAGAAAGACTGCCAGCCAGCTGGAATAATTCTTCATTTTACTCTTATGCTAAATGGGTACTTGAGCTATAGAAAGCAAGAAGTGGTCTTATTCATGATTCTTCCTTGCCAATCTGCTACGTACATTCAAAAGTACTGGAGTAGGAATCAAAGGGTCCTGAATTGAATACAGACTCCATTTGCTCAAAATTTGCTTAGGCTGGGGCTTCCCTGGTGGCGCAGTGGTTGGGGGTCCGCCTGCTGATGCGGGAGACGCGGGTTCGTGCCCCGGTCCGGGGAAATCCCACGTGCTACGGAGCGGCTGAGCCTACGCGTCCGGAGCCTGCGTGTCCGGAACCTGCGCTCCGCGGCGGGAAAGGCCGCAGCGGTGAGAGGCCCGCGTACAGAAAAAACAAACAAACAAACAATTGCTTAGGCAAATCATATAATCTCTCTGAGCTTTGTTTTTCTTTTTTTTTTTAATTGGTAAAAAGGATAATAATGCCTGCCAGTTTGCCTCAGGTTACTTTAAGTATCAAACGAAATGATGTATAAGAAGCACTTTGTAAACCATGAAGTTCCATCCAAATTGAGTTATTTTAGGCAGAATAAGATTTATATTTCTCTATATTAGAATTTTCATTTCCAGTACACAAACAGACACAAAATATAGACTTCTGAGCCCTGCTACAAACTTATTCTATCAGAATCTATAGAGATGAGGCCCAACCATCTGTATTTTTAACAAGAACACTAAAGTTTGAGAGGTACTATATAATGCACCATTCTCTTTTCTGATGTATTCCTTTCTTTCTACTTCAAGGAAAGTTTAACTGTCATGTACCATTTAATTTTCTAATCATCTTGAAATTGTTTGCTAAAATATAACAAAAACATTGTTGTGTTGTCACAAAACAACCTAAATTAAATTTTAAAAATTACGTAATTTAGATTTTAACTGTAATTGTTTTATAAATGTTTTTAACTTTAAAAAGGAAAGCTTGTTCTTTGTAATACAATGGATTGCAAAATTTTTAGAGAACTAAGAATGAAGAATCATGAAAATAACTCAATTTCCTGGGAGAATTATAATTACCACATTAGCTTTATTCATGCTGAAGTTTAACACATTCAATAGCTGCTGAGTTAAGACACTATATTGGTTCTTTACATCTCAATTATCCCAGTAAAAATTCAGGATCTCTTAAAACACACCTAAGTTTCAATAGGTGAATTTTACCATATCTGAGTTTATCAATATGTGACTTATTTTGTTTCAGTTAAACCTTCTTATTTAGAGTTAACTAAGTCCACAAAGAACAGTTTGGGAGGTCCTATACCTATCATCTTTATCACTATATAGCCCTGTTCTAAGAGTGAAAGAAGAAAAAGGTAGTTGCCTATCTAGGTTAGACAGGGTAGGTGGTATTACTAAACCTGGTAGAGTGGAAGAAACAAAGCCAATATCTAAGATAACTCAAAACAACAGGAAATATGACTAAATGCAATGAACAATGAATGAATAATTGTGCCTAGGGTGAGAGAGTAAAATTATATTTTAAAGACTACATCTGGCTTTAAAAACACTAACCTTAATCATCACTATGATAAACTAAACATTTCCATATTTCATACTAACATGTTTAGGAGACTAAAATAAGTTATTGATCTTAGTGTTTAATCAGAGTATGTGTTAATACAACACCAATATATTCTTAGAGGCTATATTAATGTGGAAACAACCCAAATAACCACCATCAGGAGAATAGATGAATAAATTATGATATATTCATACAGTAGAATACCCTATTTCAGTGAAAATGAATGAACTATGGTTATATGTAGCAACACAAATAAGGAACATTATGATGAGTTACAAAAGCAAGTCAAAGAAGAAAGAAAAAGTTATGATTTCATTTACACAAAGTTCAGAAACATGCAACACTAAAGAACATATTGTTTAGGGATGCAAATACTATTGGTAAAAGTATTAAAAAAACAGAGAAAATATATATAAATTTGAGACAGTAGTTGCCTCGAAAGAGGGAAGGAAAGGAATGTGATTAGGAAAGGAGTACATAAGGGAATTTATAGGGAATGATAATTTTATTTTCTCATAATGGGTGATAAGTCACAGGAGGTTGTTGTATTGCTTTTGTTTATTCTGTACTCATGTTTTACAAATATTGTTTTATAGGCATTCAATGTTTAATAAAAACAATTAAAATTTGATGTATTTCCTTTCTCTGTAATATATTTGCTCTGCCATAAAACAAGTTTATGATTTTAACAGATTTCAATTCTTTGCTTTCAACAGCAGCAGTTACAACTGAATATGCATATACATTCAATAGTTCTATTACTGTGCCTAAGATCGAAAGAATTATTAAATCTAACTTTAAGAAATAAGATGTCCAAGGAATAATATGAGGGCAATTTTTGGAGTAAAAATTAGTTTAGAACTCATAAAAATAAAAACAACTTCTTAATCTTCTAAGTGGTTAGTAAATCAAAGATATAGGCTATGTATTTTTTTTTTTTTTACTTTAGATGGACAGCAATAACAAATTCCTAACTGGACAAATCTCTTCAGATTTTAACTTTACTAAAAACCTGATCCCAAGCTAAGAAGTTCTACAATTTGCAAAAACACTTTAAAAACACTTTTTAAAAAAGGCTTATTCTTTTAAAAAAGAATATAACTAAAATACATAAAACTTGGAAATGCTTAAGCTTTAGTGGATTGTTCTGTCAACATGTGGATTTATTGAAAGAGCTGTGTTAACACATATTAAAAACCTAGGGACGAACTTTTTAAAACATTTTTTTTTACCTTTTTACCAAAAAAAGAATTCTCAAACTGTGAAATACAGTTAGTTGTTTACCTAGTATGGAAAGTGATGAAACAATAATGAAATCTGTCAACTTTTGTCTGTCTCCATAAAAGTAAATCTTGCATCCCAAATATATACATATGGAGAGATATAAATAAAAATCTTTATACAGTTTTATCTATGGATGTGGTTTACAGATTGTTCTTCCCCAGAACTATACTCAAAAAGGTTTTTCCAGCATTAAGGGTTTTATAATTCGATAAGTCTGAAGCCTACCAATAGTCAACACAAAAGAGTAAAACACTAGCTTTTTGAACCATTTTAGTTTTCAACAGGAAATGATCCTAAAGGTAAAAAGAGGCTTAGCCAATTATTTACTCATTCTTTTCCCCACAAATTTAAATATTAACGATAAGAAAAATTTAAACGCCAAGCTTATAAAATTCCTCCATAAGGGTATAATTATTCTAGCTATTTTTCCCCCCAAAGTAGTATCTCTGAGCTCTTTCTTGGAATGTCTAAGAGTTTTGAATTGAAATGCAGCGACACCAACGCCAAAGATCCCCTTCCTTCCCATAAATCTAGAGATTCAGCGTCTAATTAATTACCTTTGGATATATTAATAACTCACATATAAATGCTAACCGCTATTTAGCATTTCTATTAACCTCCCGTCCATTAAAGATTTGGTAGTAATTTTCATATTTTACACCATCTATTATAAAATAATAATAAACTATTTATTACGAATATATATTTCACAGCAACTTCACCTCTTAAACCTAGGCTTAACTTTTTTCGTCCTCCCCATCTAACCAAAAACTTTAGGATCATATCCTTTTTAACACTTTAATTGAACCTCACAACTCAAAACTACCAACCCCGCTAATCCCTTATTTCATACGATTATAACTTTTTTTAAAGTACTTTAAAAGCCCTATACCTTTTTCCTTCATCCGTAAGACAAGCTCTGAGAACAAAAGTGAGGGGTCAAGGATAGTGTGAAATCTGAGGGAAGAGGTGGGGCAGAAGGTTAAAGAGAGTTTGGAGTAGGACAAAAGAAAGAACTAGAAAAGTAAGCTGGGTGACGAAAACCGTTAGGCGCTGGTTAGGCTTGGGTGCAGCTAAGGACACGAAGGGGAGGGGCTTAACCTCTTGCGCTCTAACCCCCAACGCACGGAAGCGACTGCCACACACCCTATCCGCCTCTCAGAGCAGCAGCCATTTTGGCTTTGCCCCAGCCCCGCCCCTCGGACGCGGATGGCTCCATCCCCCCACGCGCACCCCACCCCCGCCTTCTTCGCGCAGAAACAGGAAGTGGGATTGCGGACCTAGGAGCCAGGCCGGCAGCAGCTCAGGGCTAGAGTCGCGCTCCGAGCGCACTGCAGTCAAATCCTTGCCGCTGCCCCTGGCTGTCGCCTCCCAAGAAAAGTCGTGGGAACATGTCGAATATGGAGAGTATCCTTTCCTTTCTTAAAAGCTGCTGCTAGGGCTTAAAGAGGTGGGAGAGAGGAGGGCCTGGGGCCCTGGAAGGTGCCTGGTGGTGACCTTTTAGGTCTAGTTGAGGAGGGATGAGGGTTCTGACTCCGATTGGTAGGCTTTGGCAGCTTATTTTGTTTTGTTTGTTGTTGTTTTCCTGGTAGCACAAGCATCCTGAATCAGGGGACGTGGGGCTGCTTTGAGAAGATTACTGAACACGAACCCTCCCTTGTTGAAGGCTACTGTCACCTGTTCTTTCAGGGAATTTATCCACTTCTGAAAAATCGAAGGAGAGTGGTGTGGAAGCAGGCGACAGTTTGCCAGAGGTTTGGGGCAGAGGTATAGGTTTTGAATGGGTAACGAGGGCAAATAGTTTTTGTGGAACTTCTTCCTTTTTCTGGATGGAGGTGACTGGTAATGAGTTCTTAATACCAGCCCTCCGAACTAAGTTGATTGCTTGCTTGTTAATAATCTGATTTAGCACGTGAGGAAACTCATAGTTTCCTAAAGCCACAAAAATCCATCAGTTGCACCTGTGTTACCACTTAAGCAATGTGTTCAAGATTAGGAACCAAGCTGTGTGAAGCTCTGAATTGAAGAAGGATGAGGTGGTTTTTTGCAAGTGAAATACCATCACAGGATTTTCATGTCGCTGTCCTTCTTCCAGAAATTGGCATTACAGAAATAGAGTAGTTTGATATCTTGCTATTGAATGAAACTTGGCAAAATAACAAAATTGGGTCATAGAAATTCTCTGATAGCTCATATTGAAACTATTTTCATTCATTAATTTGTAAGTCTGAAATATAGAAAGACATTTGGTGAGAGGATTAAATTATGTAAACTGTACTAAGAATATTGGTAACATATTTGGTGCTGAACTGGCCAAGATAAACCAAGAATAAAATGTGAACCTTTGTGGAGGTGCAGAAATAGGTCATTTCATGAACAGAGTAGATGACTAAAAGGCCCAGTTTAAAGGATATAATTTATAGAAGTGTAGTTGTGTTAGATGATTTTTATTAAAGCACCATCATAAAAGAGCACTGGATTATGAGTCAGAAGATCAATTTCCAATCCCAGTTCTGCCTTTTAAGAAACATGTGAGTTAGAACAACTCATATAGCCTCTGTTATGCAATGTTTACTCATCTGTAAACATACTAACTGACCTGTCAGCCTTATAAAGCTCTTGTGAAGGTAAAATGAAATGTAAGGGCTTACTAAATTACGAAGTTTTGAACATGTTAAGTATTAAGAAGTGGAGTACAATTTGCTATCTTTTTCGCCAGATCTTTTGGAAGGGTTTGAGGTAATAGCTCTAAAACTGCTTTTATTTCCTACTTTAATAATGCAAATTACTTTTGCTCACCTAAAAACCTACTCTATGTGATTTCCAATAATAAGATAGTTACTAATTTTCTTTCACTGAAAAGTATGTATGCCTGACTATAATTAAAATTAATGGTACTATTATCAGTAGTTTAATACATAACAAAAATGAACTATAACTACTCTGAAGTCCATCAAAGGAAGTGAGGACTTCATTCATACCATCTGGCAGTGGTTAGTTCTCTTGGTCCTTTTTTTAGAATCCAGACCTTTTCCTTTGAGTATAGAGGAAGAAAATGACATATGGACTCAGACCTGTCTTTCATAAATAAATAACTTGAACTGAAACTTGAGTAACATTTATTTGTCACCTATTTGAAATGCAGAAATCTCATTGTTACAGTATGTAAGAAGAATAAATGTGCTAACACAATTGAATTAGCATGGTAATTGTGACTTCTGTCCTTGGGCAGATAGATACACTGAAGTTATGTTGGATTAGATCCAATATCATTTTAAACAACTTGATGGAATAGCCAAATTTATTTATTTTTTAAAATTTTTATTACAGTATGTTTGCTTCACAATATCATGTTAGTTTATGCTGTATGGCAATGTGCCTTTTCCTGGGGAAAATATTTGTCGCTGACATCTCTTTCTCTAGGGGATTCTAACCTGAAAAAGGTTGAGAAGCAACAAAGTAGATAATAGGTACTGTAGACATAAGAGTAAAGAAAGGGATGTTGTGAACTGGACTGGTATCATTGTCTCCTTTGGTAGTCACCTAGACAGATGAGACTGTGTTATAGGCAAAAATTGCCAGCTACCTTAAAAATGCTCTCCATTGTGAATGGCTTTACATCCTAAAGCAGAATTACAGATCAGAGTCTCTGAGGCTTTGCTAGTGTTGACAAATGTATTGTGATACTTTAACCAAGATATTAATAATAGTTCAAGTTTTGTTTTTTAAATATCACCCGACAGTAGTCTTACAATGTATGTCCTGGCTTGCTAGTAGAATGTTGTCTTATAAGAAGTATTTTATGTAAGGAATGCTTATCGTTCATCATTTGATGCTATTTGAGGATCAGTTCTGAGCAATTCACTATGAAAGTTAAAATGCAAAAAGAGAAATAAGAGTTGAGCTGGCTTTGAATTCCTTCTTGTTCTTCTATTCACAGTTAATTACCCATCTCTAGGCTTCAGTTTTCACATCTGTACAATGAGGGAAGTTGACAAGCGATCTCTAAGGTTTCTTTCAATTCTGAAGATCTCCCTGAGTTTCTGTGTTCCCAAACTCTACCTCCCAGACATACACAAGGGATGATGAAGATGCTGGGAGCTGAAAAAGAGAAAAGTTGGGTATATAATGCCACTTTTTCTCATCAAATGTATGAATAACCATCTATGGTATGGCACCGCTGCTTTATTCTGGAGCAGGCAGGTGCTAGTAGAACATTCTTATTCCTTCCTCTTACCTCCTTTGTTTTCAACCTTTACTTCTATGTAAAGGATTGTAAAATCCTACTGTTGGCACTTGGAATCAAATAGCTTTCTGCCCTACTATGTTGGGATAACTTACTTTCCCTTGGTGTTGCTCCACCCACTTCAGAGAGGTAGGCAGGACGTAAGAGTTCTACTATGAATTTCTGCTAGTAAACTGACTATAACCATTTTTCTTGAGGAAGCAGATTGAAATCTTAGAGCAAGTTTTCCTTCTGTATGCATATTAAATATGTGGAACCCTAATGATTGTTATTTAAATTTGAAAGCAATAATCTATTAAGGCATAGGTGATTTCTCCCCTTTGCCTGTCAGCAGTGTGATTGCTATTAAATGAAATCACACAGAATGTTTTTTTTTCCTTTTTAAATTTATTTATTTTTGGCTGTGTTGGGTCTTCGTTGCTGCATGTGGGCTTTCCCTAGTTGTGGAGAGAGGGGGCTACTCTTTGTTGCGGTGCGCGGGCTTCTCATTGCAGTGGCTTCTCTTGTTGCAGAGCACGGGCTCTAGGCGTATGGGCTTCAGTAGCTGTGATGTGTGGGCTCAGTAGTTGTGGCTCGCGGGCTCTAGAGTGCAGTCTCAGTAGTTGTGGTGCACTGCCTTAGTTGCTCCGCAGCATATGGGATATTCCTAGACCAGGGCTCAAACCTGTGTCCCGTGCATTGGCAGGCGGATTCTTAACCACTGCACCACCAGGGAAGCCCAACATAGAATGTTTTAAAGACACATTGGGATTTTTTTTATTCCCTGACTAGCTGTATTGCCCAGTTAAGATAGGTGACTTATCTAAATCATGAGGTGGTAATGACAATTTATTGAACATCTACTATGTACCAAACTTTGTGCTGGGGATTTTATATATTATCTCAAAACCTCAAAACAACCCTGGAAGACAGGTGGTAGTGTCCTCATTTTATAGAACAGGCAATTAAAGCTAAGAAAGCTACAGAGCTTGTAAGTGTAAAGGATCTGAGCTCGGCTCCAAAGTCTCTGGTGTGTTCACGTTTCCATAGTGCCTCCAGAACTTACAGTACATTTCAGTTATATTTGATCAAGTCCTAGGGTTATGCAGAGCTACTCTTTCTATATATTGACATTCCATTTGAGATTTTTGCTTTAAAAAGAGTTTGGAAAACCATGAATCAACACAATCACTTTAGGGAGGACCTAGCTTAGATTTTCTCGAAGACAAGTCTATTCATAGATATATTTCCTATTAAGAGGTACACCTGGGCTTCCCTGGTGGCACAGTGGTTGAGAGTCTGCCTGCCGATGCAGGGGACACGGGTTCATGCCCCGGTCCGGGAAGATCCCACATGCCACAGAGCGGCTAGGCCCGTGAGCCATGGCCGCTGAGCCTGCGTGTGCGGAGCCTGTGCTCCGCAATGGGAGAGGCCACAGCAGTGAGAGGCCCGTGTTCTGCAAAAAAAAAAAAAGAAAGAGGTACACCTGTATGACGTAATGTTCTAAATTTTAATTTTATAGAGTTAGAAGGTAGGGAATACTACTTTCTGAAAATTTGAAATAATTGTTCAGATGATTCATTGATTTTTCTTATTTATCAATCCCAAGGGCTAAGTGAGTTAGTGTTTTCCTTTTGCATGGATTTTGGCAGGAGGAGGGAAACCTACTGCCATTAATGGAGATCTTTGAGACCAATTTTTCAGAGTCAGTGTTTATGTTAGCAAAAAAGCAGGCATGGTGGTGTATAATAAACCTCATAGTGGTTAAGAGGAAGATGGTAGGGAGGGGAGGAAGAAGGGTACACTGGGCAAAGGAGCTGTATGTGAAGACACAGAGTCAGGTAACTGGTGGAGGCCATCATCACTGAAGCACAAGTTGCTGGAGCCTGGGATTACCCAAGATCTAGTTTAGGGCCTTATGCATTATTCTATACATGTTAATATGTATTACTGTTCAGCCTTTCTAAACCTTCAATCCATCAAAAATAAAGTATTTCAGTCATTGTCTTTTCAGTTGGCAAAGAAAAATAAATACTGTCTTAATAGCAACCACTTTGCCAAATTGAATTTATGATTAGTCAGTGAAGGAGATTATTCTGCCAGTTTTATTTTTTCCAATAGAAAAATACTCCAAGGATTTACAGCTAACTAAAATATCTAAAATATTTCACAGTATATCAACTCTGGTTCATAGTTCAATTTAGTGGTTGAATCAACGCCATTATTTTCCACATTAGCAATAGAGGATATTCACTTATTGTAGTGTATACAGCGGGTGATTATTTGAATAGCAGGCACCTGAATTTAAGAATCGCCTACCCTGGTTGTAGAAGGTACCCGAGAGTTAGAGGCAAGGTTTTAGACGGAGGAGTGTTTTGATTTCTGGCCTAGGACAAAAGATACATCATCAGAAAAACACTGGTTTTACAGGTTGCCTGGGATACATAGACACATATGAATATATTTGGCAGGGGTGGTAGTCTAAAGTATGTAGTCCACCTCTATGGAATCATGTGCTTTACACTATATTTATGAGTCAAAATGGGAAAAATAAGAAGAGACCATGTAAAAAGTATTTTCCGAAACCAAATGTCTTCAATTTTAAAAGCCGTACTTTATTGTGAGACTCTCCTTCCTACATTTTTGGTGCTGCGCTATTCTTTCTGTTAATTATACCAGTCCAAGGATTTTTTAAAAAGTCTGGGATCTGCTATGACATTGGTTTTCTCACTCTTAGCCACAGAGCCCTTTTTTTTCCTGAATGGAATCATGTAGAATCCTAATATACTACAGAAATAAACATCATTGTATTAGTGTAAACTTATTCGTAAGCTTATATGTGTAATTGAGTCCTCTTGCCCAACATCAGTGATGCTTTTTCCCCAGTATATCAGGTACCATTGCAAAACATTTTTTCTACTATTCATTTACTTAAAACTATTGAGTACTTCCGTTAATCACTGCACTAAGCTGATGGTATAAGGATAATTAGGGTTCATCCATATTCTCAGGGTGTCCATAGTCTAGTTAAAGAAGTAGACGTGTAAACAAAGAATTATAATGAAATACAGAAAAGTACATCATATATAAAGTAACATGGGAATACAGAGTAAGTAGCTACTGACACTGTAAATTTCAAATTAGTGTTTCCACAGAGTATACTTAAAATTTAGGACCAGAATGTTTGAAGACAGCCTTGGAGAAGAGCTATTTTATATTAAATTTATATCAAGCACAAACAGGTTCAGTGTATCCAAGTTATAATACTACTACACATTCCTAACAGTGTTGTCCATATACCAGTATTATTTAATACATGCTTTTGGGTTTTTTTCTTTTAATTTTCAAGCAACCCTCTTTTTTAAATTGCAAGGATACCATCTCATGGAACAGGACTATAAACTCTCAATCTAACCTTTTATTTGAAATGAATTTTTTACAAAAATCATGTAACTTTAATCCTCACCTCCCCAAGAGCAAGTACAAAAAAGAATAAAAGACCAGTTACCTGCCACTGGGCTTAAGAAATAAAACATTACCAACTCATCTCCCTTATTTCCCCACCAAAGGCAACCACTGTCTAAAAGTTCATATTTATCATTTCCATGCATTTGTTTATATTTGACCACATACGTGTACATTCTTAGGATATAATTAATGCCTTGCATATTTTCCAATTTTATGTGTGTGGTATAATGTTTTCTTTTTTATTCAAGATGGTTCTTCAGATTCATTCATTATGTCATTTTCACTTTCACGTCTATGTAGTTTTTTTTTTTTAACATCTGTACCTTTTTTTTTTAAACATCTTTATTGGAGTATAATTGCTTTATTGTAGAAATATCATACAGTTTATCCATTCTATTTAGTGATGAACATTTAGGTTGTTTCCATGGTTTTCTGTCATTATAAACAATACTGCTATGATCACTTGTACATATTTGCTGTGTCAGCTGGGGACAGTTTCTCTATGGCATATACCTAGGAGTGGGATTGCTGGGTTGGAGACTATGGGTATTTTCAAGTAATGATTTTTTGATGATTTCCATTGTAATCTATATACCTTTTATTTTCTTATCATGCTTGGTAGGACTCCAGAACAATGCTTAATTTAAAAAAATATGTGTGTGTTATATATATATATATATACATATATATATATATATATCATGATCACTTTCTTGTTACAGTCATCCCTGGGTATCTGCAGGGGATTGGTTCCAACACCCCCTTCCCCTCACAGATACCCAGATCTGCAGATATGCACATCTCTTAGTTGGGCCTCTATTTGCAGATGCAAATCCATGGATACAGAGGGATGACTGTACTGATTTTAAAAGGAATTCTAATTATTCACTGTTAAGGTTGATGATTGCTCGAGCTTTTGTTTTTGTTTTCATGTGAAATTTTTTTTTAACATCTTTATCGGAGTATAATTGCTTTACAGTGGTGTGTTAGTTTCCACTTTATAACAAAGTGAATCAGTTATACATATACATATGTTCCCACATCTCTTCCGTCTTGCGTCTCCCTCCCTCCCACCCTCCCTATCCCACCCCTCTAGGTGGTCACAAACCACCTAGCTGATCTCCCTGTGCTATGCGGCTGCTTCCC